AGGGGGGAAGAAAAGATTTATAGTAAGGTAATTGAGTCTGGCAGCACTAGTCAGGTGCTTCATTATGGTGAGCTGTAGAATATAAAGCCAAAGGTGAGTGAGTAGGGAAAATATGGAGATCCCAAGCCAAGAACGAGGTACAGCCTGCTAGTTCACTGGTATTAAAGGGACCTATTACTTTTGGCCTTTGGACAAAAATGTATGTGTGAGTGACACCACATTTGAGGAAATATGGTATCATCGTTGCATATCTGCAGTAAATTGCTTGGTTCTGTAATGGTATTAAGGATAGTTCAGAGCCATTCCAAACTGCTAGACATACATTTAGCATGCTCTTGAGAGCTGCATTTTTGTTTTTAAAAATTTTTGAAAAGATTTTACACTCACAGAAATGTAACAACAGTACAAAGTACTTACTTACAACTGGAACCATTTGAGAGTAAGTTGAAGGCCTTATACCCCCATCCTTTAAGAATTTACTATGTATTTTCTACAAACAATTTGCTCCAACATAACCCCAAACAACCATGAAATCAGAAAACCAGCATTAACGCATCACCCCATCTAGGTGTCACGTCTATTTAAATTTTGTCAATTGTCCCATTAATGTCTTTTATAACAAAATGATCCAGTCCAGATGCACGTGTTGCCTTTTTTGGCCCATGACTCTTTACTCTCCTCCAGTCTGGAATGGGTCTTCATTCTTTCCTTTAATTTAATGATCTTGTCACTTTTGAATGTTACACAACAGATATATTGTAGAACTTCCCTCGTTTTGGACGTGTTTGTTGTTGTTGTTTTTTTTTTCTTAAGCTTAAATTTAGCTAATGCATTTAAATTTAAGTGGATGTATTTATTAGTTTGCTAGGAGTGGATGGTTTAAACATCAGAACTTATTTTCTCACAGTTCTAGAGGCTCCAAGTTTGAGACCAAGCTGTCAGCAGGGTTGGCCTCTTCTGAGGTCTCCTTGGTTGGTAGATGGCCATCTTCCCATGTTTCCACAGGGTTTTTCTTCCCTGTACGTCTGTGGCCTAACTTCCTCTTCTTATAAGGACATCAGTTGTATAGGATTAGGCTTCAAACAAATCACCTTACTTTAGCATAATTACCTCTTTAAACAGCCTGTCTCCAAATACAGTCACATTCTGAGGTAATGGTGGTTGCACCTTAACATGAATTTTGGGAGGAGAAAATTCAGCCCATAACAAGAAGGAAAACCTAGACGCATATTCTGTTCTTCTGACTCATCAGTAGGTTGTGCATGATTTCAACCTTCTCCATCACTGATCATCTTCCCTGTAAACCTGGTTTAAGGAAGGGTCTGCACCTCCTGAATCAACAGAGAACAGAATTCTATGCGGCACAGTCACTGTTCTCCTTTGTAAATAATAAGACTCTGTGGAGAAGTTGTTTGATATTTTATGAATATCCCATTCTTTACTAAGATATCAGTATGAACTCATGGATTAATATTTTCTTCAATGAGTTATAACATGTTATCATCATTATTTTGACATTCAAAATTCCTTATCATTAGTTATTCAGATGCTCAAAATTGGGTCAATTCGTGTCTCCTTCAAATTGGCATCTATTTTGTTTTGCCGTGGCACCATCATTCTTTCAGTGTTTTCTTAGTTTCAAGTTGGTTCAGGCTCATCCTGTATTTTCCCATCCTAATCTGAGAAACAGACATTTCTCCAAGGTTACTGGTTCCTTTTAGTGGAGAATAATATTTAGAAACCAAGATCTGGACATGATCAGTGTTATTTGGGACCTGAGGTGTCATTTCTTCTAAACTAGGGAAAAGTATATATCAATATGTCTATTCACACAGAAACACTCATGGAGTTACATTCTGATAAACCCAACATAAATAGAAAATATCTTAAATCGAAGCTTCCAGTCAAGATGGTGGAATAGATGATCCCCAGCATCACTCTCTCACAAAAAATCAACCGATTTACAACTGCTAAAAATCAACAACAGCCAAGCTGGGGTCTCTAGAGCTCAGGGGAACAGGAGAGGCCTACAGAGTTCATGAAGGTGGGAGAAGTCAAGATGAGAGAAACAAAGGATCGCACTGACCATTTCAAATCCCCACCTCTTCAAGGCTGGAGCTAGTGAGTGCATGGAGCAAGAACTGGCAAAATCTGCAGCTCTGACCTTTGGAGAAGTTGCGAGGAGGTGGCAGGGGAGAAGAGGGCCTTCGTGGCCCTCAGGCCAGCAAGACCACTAACAGGATTCCTGTGGACTCACGAAGACCACTAACAGGATTCCTGTGGACCCACATAGGAGCAAGGAGCCACAACAACTGAGAAAAGAAGCCACTCAGAAACTGGTAAATTATCGGAAGGGACCAGCACACAGTCTGTCCCATGGAAAGTGCTTGGAGTACAGTTGGTGGGAAAGACAGGTCCACCGGGAGAACACTGAGGCACAGCATGGACAGTTGATCTGCCCCCCAATCAGCACAGGCCACTCAGTGGAGACTGGCAGGAGTATAGAACTGCAGGGGGTGCAGTTTGCTGAAAGTACTCAGGCCCAGACCAGAGTTTCCAGAAAACCCTGGTGTACTGGAACTCACAAGACCTAGAAGTACATAATAGGTCAACAGTTAAAACCTGAGCTGCACAAAAAGCCTTCCCCAGGGAATCAGCAGCAAAGCAGCAATTTGACTCAACCACACAACTCAAGTGCTGGTCCTCACAGGAATTTGCCCAATTTTAGAAGTAAGCAAAGGACAGCAAATTAGTTCCAGTGTAGAGTTTAAGTGGTGGGAACAGTAAATAATCCAACACAGAACTGAAAAAAAAAAAAAAAAAAAACACATAGATCAGAGACAAAGATTGATATTAACTAGTAAAGGTCTCACATCACCAAAGAGCACTTATAAAACCTAGAAGGACTGGGAGCGCCCTGTTCTCCCAAGCCAGGGAGCAGGGAGGGTGGGGGGCCTTAGCCGTGTCTCCCAACACCTGCAACAAGCCCTGTGGTGACCAATGAGCCACTGCTGGAAGACCCCTGGTCTCCTGAGCCTGAGCAATGGGAGGCCCAGGGCTTCAG